ACAACAGCGACGAAACCCTTCCGGATATTTGTACCGACATCGAGCACTGCCAGCCGGGCAAAGTGCGCGACGAGCCCTCGAAGAAGAAGGCGCCCGAAGAAACGCCGGCGACGCAGGCAGAGGCGGCGACGCTGATTCCCGAAGAACCTCTGACTCAAGAAGAACCCACGACTCAAAGAGGACCTCTGGAGGGCATCCAGAACGTCACGGCGGAAGCGGGCGACGGCAACTTCACCTTCACCGACGGCAATCTCACCCTCGCCGACGGCAACTTCTCCCTTGATGACAACTTTACCCTTGCCGATAGCAACTTAACTCTCGTCGACAGTAATTTCACTCTCGCCGACGACAACACCACCTTCGCCGATGGCAACTTCACCCTCGCCAACGGTAGGACGACAACTTCACCCTTGCCGACGGCTTCCACTTTGGCCTTGGCGTCGGCAGCCTCTTCAACGTGACCTCGCACGAGGACGACCACAGCTACGAGTGGATGCTCTCCGAGGAATGGGACGGCGACAACAACCGAACACATACCAACTACACCGACAGCAGCTCCTCATCCTCCAGCTCTTCGTCCTCCAGCTCCTCGAGCGAGTCCTCGGAGAGTCTCGAAGGAGATTCGTCGTCGTCGAGCGAGGAGGACAGCGACGAGAGTGACGAGGACTCGAGTAACGAAGGGAGAGAGTACTTCTCCGGGGAGGTGTTCGACGCGGCGCTCAACGGCAGCGGGACCTGGATGACCGACGAGGACGGCCGCTGGTACAGATTCCGTCATCGCAACGAGTCCGAGGAGAGCGACGAGGACGAGTCCCTGGAGGAGGACGATGACGATGATGAGGACGACGACGATGAAGATGACGATGATGAAGATGAAGACGATGAGGATGAGGACGAAGATGAAGAGGATGGCGAGGAGGAAGACGAAGAAGAGGAAGATGAGGAGAAGGTAAATTCAATTTTATTGTTGAAGCTGTTCTACAATTATCTCTTTTACAGTTTTTGTGATGATAAAGTTGTAAATATAGAAATGGAATGGTAAAATGTTTAAAATGAAAGCAAGATTAGTAAAACATGACAGATTAGAGCAATCACATAATGATAACTATAACTATAAAACTATTATCAGTATCGTCACAGTATAATTAATGGTAATGATGATAATGAAAAAACAACAGTAATGGGGACAATGATAATAGTGATAATAATAAGGATGATCATAAAAATAATAGTAATAAAAATACTAATAATAGTAGTAGTAATAATAATAACGTTGATCATAATAGTAATAATAACATTTATAATAATAATAATAATAATAACAACAACAATAATAGCAATAATCATCATCATCGCATTCCCTTTCCAGGACAAAGAGAATTCGAACGGAGAGATCATGTTGGCCGGCCAGAGGTTCCCGTCGACCGTCTGCTTCGAAGCCAGAATGGTGGATCGCGCCAGCTTGGTGGAGGTAAAGCACTGTCCGTTTTGGGTTGTGAGAGAGGGAGATGGAGAGAGAGAGAGACGGAGAGAGAGAGAGGGAGGGGGAGGGAGGGATGAGAGGGAGGGGAGGGAGGGATGACAAGAGAGGGAGGGGAGGGGAGGGATGACAAGAGAGGGAGGGGAGGGAGGGATGAAAAGAGAGAGGGAGGAGGGAAAGAGAGAGAGGGAGGGAGGGAAAGAGAGAGAGAGGAAGGGAGGGAAAGAGAGAGAGAGAGGGGGGGGGGAAGGAAGGAGAGGGAAGAAGAAAGAGAGAGAGAGACGTATGGAAGGAGGAAAACGAGAAGGGATGAAAAGTGAGAGAGAGAGAGAGAGAGAGAAAGAGATGAACGGATAGAATTGGAGAAAGGAAGAGGTTGATTAATGAAAAGGGAGAGAGGGAATGAGGGAAGGAAATATAACGAGAGATAAGACGAGAAGAGAGGGGTAGGGGAGAAAAGGGTGAGAGGAATGGAAGGAGAGGAGAGGAAATAGAGAGAAAGAGAAATAGAGGAGAAATGAGATTTTTATAGCTGCATGAGAGGGATGGAAAAAGAGATTCAGATAGAGAAGAGAATGAGAGATGAATGAGGAAGAAGAAAAGCAAAGACGAGTGAAAAAAGAGAGTGAAAGTGAAGAAATTACTTGCAGCGGATCGAGTAAAATTAGTGAAAATAAAAATGATTTTTATGTTGGTTGATATATTATATGGAAAAGAAGGAAACGAGAAAAGAGGAAGACGAGAATTGGATAAAGAAAGAGAAGACAGAATGAGAGAATGTGTTTCAAGGAGAGAATAATTAGTGAAGCCAACTTAAATGTAAGAGCTGTTATTTAGTATTATTATTGCGAAGGAGGTAAGGGGGGGGGGGGAGTAAGAGGAAAGGATGTTACAAGAAATAGTGAGAAGGGGGGGGAAGCACAAGAGTGTTTGTGTTTTGAAACCGTAATATATTTGTGTGTGAGAGAGAAAGAAAGAGAGAGAGAGAGCAAAAGAACGAGAACTAACCAAACTCCCTAACCCAATGAAACAATGAATAAAAAATCCAATATCCCCTTTAACTGCATACTTCTTCCATTATCCAATACTTCCCCTCATTTGTAAATATCCCATCCCTTTAAATATCCCAATGTTTTTCTCTTTAAATATCCCCTCTAAAATGCCCCTACTTCCAAAAATACTCCACCCTGCCTAAAATACCCCACCCCTCTTTAAAACTACCCCTTTCTACCCTTCCTTTCAAATACCCCCTCCCCCCTTTTAAAATACCCCCTCCTACCTCTCCTTTAAAGTACCCCCCCCCCCACCCCTCTTTTAAAATACCCCCCCCACCCCCACCCCTTAAAAGCGCACCCCCCCCCCCCCATCCCCAACCCGCAAATCCGACCCAGCCAGTAACACGGACCCAACGAAGACCTCTTTCCAGGAGCACAAGGACGGCGAGTTCGTGTGGGAGGCCGAGCTGCAGGCGCGGATCCGAGCTGGCTTCTCTTGGGGCTTCCTCCTGACGCAGCTGGTGGGCGGGAGGCTGGCCGGCATGATCGGGGGCAAACTCCTGTTCCTCATGGGCGCTTCCATGGCCGCGGTGCTCACCATTCTCACGCCCACGGCCGCCCACATCGGTCCGTATTGGCTCCTCGCTGCTCGCATCATGGTCGGCGCGGCGCAGGTACGTGGTGTGAGAGATGATGATGATAAGAGGAATTATGATAATGATAATGATAACAACAACATCAACACCAACAACAACAACTATAATGATGAAACTGGTCATAAGTTAATATTAGTAATAATTATGATGATTATATGGATAATAATAGTACTAGTACGACTACTAAAATGGTGATAAAAATGAAAAAAAGATGATGATAATAACGAGAATAATAACATCAATAAGATTATAATGATTATGATGTGGTAATGATATACTCCATACATTGACAATAACAGCATTAACTTACTAATAATAACAGCGATACGCATATCAGTGATACTAATTAGGTTGATATCAATGAGAAAAAACAAGAGGACAGGGAAACAATATAGATAATAAAACTAGCGAGTAAATTAACAAAGACAACGAAACAGGTATACAAAAAAGGGAATTTAACATAATAAAAACAATCCTTCCATTCCATGTTGCAGGGCGTGTGTGTTCCGGCCATGCAAGCAGTTCTCGCTCAATGGGCGCCGCCGATGGACCGCACTGTCATGGTTGCCTACACGTATTCTGGTATGTTTTTTTTCGTTGATTTTTTTTCTTGTTTTTAATTGGCTTATTAGATTCGTAGTTATATTTACCTACTTATAATGACCTGGCATACAGGCTCTAAACATAGAAAATAAAAAGAGAATTGAAAATGGAACAGAAAAACAAGAGCAATTAGAGTCACCAAATTTAACTCGAAAGAAATAAAAAGAAATGAAAGAAAAAAAAAAACGGCATCTGAATTCCTTAAACTAAGCCCCGCCCACCTCTCTCCCTGCCCCTCCTCCAGGCCTGGCCGTCGGCGCTGCGCTCGGAGGCCCAGTGTCGGAGTGGATGGTGACCGTGATCGGCTGGCGGGCGCTGTTCTACCTGCAGGGCGCCGTGGCTCTCGTGTGGTGCGTCCTGTGGCAGTTCCTGGTGGCGGAGAACCCTGCCAAGCACCCACGCATCACCACGCAGGAGAAGACGCACATCACATCGAGCATTGGAGCACAGCACGCCTGGAGGGGCCTGCCGGTGCCGTGGCCTCATATATTCAGGTGGGTTTGCAAGGGCGTGCATGTGTGTGTGTGTTTGGAGATGAATACTTACTGCGAATGTATTATCATTTTCTTCTCCTTTTCCTCCATTTACTCATTTATTTTTCTGCAATTCGCTCATCATTATTCCACTTCCTACTCCATCCACCTCGCAACAAAATACCATTAATTCGGCATCAGCAACAATAATCATCTATAATTCCACTGTAATAAAAGGAAATAAAACTAAAACTAAATTATTTTTTTCTCCTCAGATCTCGTTACGTCTTCGCTGTCGTCTTAGCTGAGTTGGGCTTCTCATGGGCGTGGTTTACCCTCCTTCACCACGCCCGCGAGTATGCAGTGACCGTGTTGCATGTTCCCGATCACCAGGTGAGGGTTTGGGCGTGGGCGTTGGAGGGATGTAGTGTGTGTGTGAGAGAGAGAGAGAGAGAGAGAGAGAGAGAGTCGGATAGGGAGAGAACTATGAAAGTGTACGTAAAACTGTTTGTAAGTATCTAATCCCCCTCCCCCCACACACACACACCAAAAAATATAAATAAATAAAAATAAAAATAGATAAATAAATTAAACCTCTCACCCCCCCCCCTAACCCTCTCCCACCTAAATTACCTGCCTGCGTCCCTGCGTCAAATTCTCTAACCCTTCCCTCCCCTTCCAGGCACGTGTGGCATGGGGCACGGCTCTCTTTGCCATGTGGATCATTGCCATAGTGTACGCCACCTTAACGGACTGGGTGAGGCGCACGAATCGACGCTCTACAGTGGTCGTG